ACGCTTTTGACATACCGTGTAGGGCTGATAGGTACCGGCGGGACAAGCCTTGCAAGAGCCAGCAGAGGCACTGCCACAACCGTCGCGGTAGTAGCCTGCGCTGCATGCAGCGCATGTCTTGCAGGAGTATGAGCGATGTGAGCTCGAGTCCTGGTACTTGCCGGCTTCACAGACATCACAGCGTCCGGGGCCGGTGCCACCCGAGCATTGAGCCAGCTTCAAGCCAACGCCGCATGTGGTGCAATATGTGCATGTGCTACCACGGAAAGAATTTGTTGGCTGATACTTGGCAGTTGGGCAAGCTGTGCATGAGCCAGCATAGCCACCGGCACATGAAGTTTGGTAATAGCCGGCTGAGCAGGCCTTGCCTGACTGCGAGCACGTAAGACAAGAGAGGGATCGGTGGCTGGTGGAAGTTTGGAACTTGCCGCTCTGGCAACCAGTGCAAGTTCCTGGGTTGGTGGTTGAGGGGGTGGCCAGGTACTGGCCGGCACCGCATGTGTTCCAGTTGGCGCAAGAGCTGTATCGGTGGGAGTTTGTGCTGCGGTAGGTGGGTGAAGGGCATGCGGTGCAAGTGCCGGGGCCAACGCGTAGACCACTGCTAATCTGCTCGGTGAAGTATTCACCCGCATCGCAGAATCGGGCTGACTTGCAGGTTGATGACTTGTGTGAATTGGAGTCTTGGTATGTGTGAAGGCCACAGTTCTGTTGACGCGAGAGGGTGATGGGTGGCGGCAAAAAGGCACTGGTATGAGCTACTCTGAGGATTATTTCTCGAGTTCAGGATTCTGAGCAAAGGGCGTTGGGTGTCAACATACCGAGCAAGTGGTGCCGGCGGTGATTGTGCAACCGTAGTACTTGCCAATGCCACAGGCAGCACATGTTTTGCAGGAAGCGGCACGATGGGAGTTGGCGTTTTGGTAGGTACCGGAAGAGCAAGTGTAGCAGCTGCCGGGCGTGCTACCGGTGCATCCACCCTGATACTGGCCCGAGTCGCAGACGGTGCCGTATGACGAGCAAGACTTGCATGAGCTCTGTCCTGTTGCCGTTTGGAACTGGCCCTAAGAAACGTACGTATCAAACATTCAGCGATATGGAAATTACATTTTGCTAGTTGATAGTGTACACACAGGCGTCATCGTGAAACCCGCTCCCATTTGAAATAAGACCGAACTGACGTACCCCTGGGCATGCAGTGCATGATGTTCGACCAGTTGTACTGGCATATGTTCCGGCTGCGCAGTTCTTGCACGACCAACTGTTGTGCGTGGCCTCTTGGTATTTTCCGGTTTGACATACTATAATTGGTAGGGCCAGTGTGGTTGGTTTGTCCTTTGTACGGTGGTAGTCAAAGTAATTATTTGGCGAGCGAGAAGGGCCCATGGCATGTTACAAACCTTGACAGCCTTGGTTGGTGATATCATTGGTGAATTTGTAGTAGCCAGCCGCGCATGCAGCGGTGTTGCACGCATATGTGTCACAGCCACCCGTGCAAGTGTTGCAAGTCCCATCGCAGGAGTTGTCACACGAATCATCACCACTGTTACAGCTGCTATCGCATCCCTATTTCAGCAAAGAAAAGTGTCAATGGGTGAGCATACACACTTCACTCCAGTGTGTCGCGGAAGCATGAGTGATCTCGTACATAGTTGTCACATGTCTCGCCAGAATTGCAACTATCGTCGCAAGAACGTCCGTTGCAGCCAGTGCACACGCCACCTTTACTATTGCAGGGGGCCGTCCAGGCAACATCACGGCGGTTTCGCGAAGGAGTGGGATGGAGCAAATCGAGGGCTTTGCGATTGATGATGAGCTGGGTCATGGAGACTGGGTGACCCTTTTCATCCACCCCCATCGTGGCGTTACAGTCGGCCAAGCGAGCCAAGAACATGTTCATGTCATGGGGGGTGACGTATGCGGGCAGGGCGCTAAAGGTTTGGGCCTTCATCAGCGAGCGCAAGGAATAGGGGTGGTAGGAGCGCACAAGATCGTTGGCAGTGGCACAGCTGGTCTCCAAGCCACCCATGGGTTCATGGGCGAGTTGAATCCAGGGGAGGCCAAGAGCCGAGTGATCGAGACCAGCCAGGACCTGACTGACGACTGCGCAGAGCGGATGTTGTGATTGCCAACAAGCCGTCTCAATGACATCACGCCAGCTGGCCTCATCGCGATCGATGGAATAGGTCACATGCGCAGAGGTGATGTTGTCGTTGGTGGTAGCAAAGTGAATCAAGGCCTTGGGAAGGTAGAGAATATCATTCTCGCGCAAAGTCAACTGACGACAGTGCATCCGTTCGAGGTCCTTGATGGCCCAATTGCGGCAGCCTGTGTGTGAAGGGGCGCAAAACAGTGTGTGAGGAAGCCAGCCTTGCGAGCCCATTGCTGTTTTGAGATGCAGGACATACCTTCGGGGTTGCTAATCTCCAGTTCGTAGATTTGAGCAAGCTGGGCGGGTGTCGCTTCGGGCCAGTCGGCGGAGCTGTCGTTGGTGCCAGTGCAGATGGTCCACTCCTTGTGGCCAAAGACTTGCACCACCACAACATCATACTGATCCGTGTGGGGAGGCAGGGCCAAGGCATGTGGAGCGGAGATGTAGGCGTGTGCTGTGACTTCAGAAGCGCCAAAGACGTCGAGAAGCATGTGCTCAAAGGGAGATTGGGGCACATCTTGAAATTCGCGGCGGATGACGGCGGACTGTCCTTCGGCATAGAAGCGGGGACCCTGCACGCTCCAATCGGTGGTGTTGATGGTTTGAGAGCGGGCCTTGTTGTTACGAAGGACAAAGACGTTGTCGTCATCGTGAAATTGGACAAGGGTTTCAGCGAGGAGGGCGTCGACATGTTTCAAGTCTTCAAACCAAGAATCAGAGGCCCACAAATCTGCACTTTTCTTGGTGGCGATGGCTGGAATGTGGAGCAAGTCTTGTCGATAGTAGTGTTGCAAGAAGGCTGTGGGAGTGATGGCGTCTCCAAGCATTTGACGAAGCAGATGGTGATCAACAGCAGAAACTTGTGGCAGATCGGGCATGTCAGGGCTTGATGTCGATGTAGCCACGGTGGCTAGACACGCCAGCAGGATCAGCATGACCCGCAGGCCTGCCCCGACTGGATGACGGGTGGCATCGGTGGCCATGGCGAGGGTTTGTGCTAGGCAAATGTCTGGCAGCGCATCAGGCGAGCGTGACTAAAACAGGTGGACCGACCAGGAAAGGTGAGGCGATTCAGACCAAAGTGCAAGATACACCAGTGAAAAGACATGATTGGGCTGTGAGAGCCTGAATCCACACTCACCAGTGCGCGTATCAGGCAGGAGGTTAACAATGCCCCTCTCGCGTCCGTCCCCCTTGCATGAACAACAGAGTGCGGTGCGGTGCAGTGCGGTGCGGTGCGGTGGAGTCCCAAGCTCGACGACGCTGCGTGATCAGAGGGCGTTTAATGGTGGTGGAGGGTGCGTGGTGTCAAGGTGTAGTGGAAGTGCAGAGATACAGAGAGGTACAAGAGGGAGAGAGGGAGAGATGCAGAGGGAGAGATGCGCGGTCAGAGGGAGAGTAAGCTCGGAGAGAGAGAGGGAGAGAGGAAGAGAGAGAGGGAGAGAGAGAGAGGGAGGGACTTGTTTTGGTCTCGTTTGTCAAGCGGTGTGGTGTATTGTGTGGGTGTGGGGGTGGTGGGGTGGTTGCCAGAGGGGGACAGGCGGCAGTGAGAAGGACGGGCACTGTGTAAACCGTGGAGTGGGACAGAGGGAGCGCGGGACCAATTGCTGAAATTGCTCGAGTGGCGGATAGGCTTTGGGCAATCGGCGGGTGTCAGGATGATGGGTCTGGTGTCCGTGGTGGTTGTTTGTGGGTGTGGGAGTATCGCTGCTATGGCAGGGCAGCTTCCCAGCCCTGGCACGGCCAAGGCACCAGGTGAACGGTGGTTCTCATTTGCAGGCGAAGGCGTGCATCTTTCATGCATGACGCTGCCGTTTTGTCAAGAAGATCGCTCGACTCATTTCTGTAATTTTCTTGTCAGAGGATTACCGTCGAGTTCCGTTTGTTACATATTGGGCACGTGATTGTGACAAACAGGACTGCTTGTATGGACCAATCGGATGACAATTTTGAGATGACACTGTTGTGAAAGGTGTGGGACTGCACACACGTTTGATGAACGTGTGCAAAAAAAAAACAAGAAATGGCTTTCGCGTATTCGGACTGGATGTTGAGTGCGCGTGCGTGTGGGATCCTCATCGCGATCAATACACCCGCCGGAATGTTCTCTCCTATGCAGCCATCCAGGTTCTTGGATCACCGTCGTCATGATGAGGGTCGGTGCTAATGACGAAGAGCTGGCTTCAGGCACAGGAGCGCTGACCTCGAAAAAAAGCCAACAGGAGCTTGTTGGTTTGGGAGACCTCGCAAATTCAATCGATGAGTCATGATCACGTGCCCAACGTTAGAGCCATTTGCCGATGACGAGGATGACGAGGATGATGCGGATGATGAAGGAGGATGATGATGAACCGTTGTTTGTTTCTTTTCCAGAAGCAATGTGGCGTTGACTCGCCGCGCGCAAGAGCGCAGTTGGGAGCCCCCAAAAAACAGCGAGCAGTTGTGAGTGACGACATGGGCGGCGAGCCAAACAGAAAAAAGAGCAACTTGATGCCACTTGGCTCAACCACCTCAAGGCAGAGCCAAGTACGAGTGCGAAGATGGCGTTTGTTCTGAAAAAACACTCGGAAAGTGGGTGATAAAAGACCACTGCCGTGGCGGGGATTCCATCCCCTTTCCAAATGTCTACGGCGCGAGTGAACATGAGCTCAACATCTATACCATCCGGCCACAAACTTGGCGCTGCCATTTTTTCCCCCCTGTGCCGCCGGAAGAGGTGGAAAACCAAATTGTCTTTTTTGTTTTGGTCGCGCTCCAAAATTGTCACACTATGGGTCTCAAAAGACCAAGCGCTTCTTTTTGCACCTTTGCTAATACAAAACCCACAACCCAATCTACAAAATCAAACCACGTTATCCTTATAAGAGAACCCTCGTAGCTTTCCCAATGTTCGAGCCTCTGTTTTCGATAGCGAGGGAACCACGTCTCTGCATTCCTTTTGCTTCACATGCCAAATGATGTTGCTGTTTCAGCATCGTACCTTCATCTCTCTTTGTCTCTCCCATGTCCTCACGCTCTCTCTCTAACCTGAATTGCTCGTCTGTCTTGTATGACTCGAACATGCCCCTCTCAGCAGGCCAGGCGCGGCTGGTCAAAAGTCCTCCCTGCATGAAATGAAGTCTGTGTGTGTGTCAGCTCCAAACGCTAGGCCCATGCTTTATGCTTCACAAGAGTCCCCCGCTCTGACCACGATCCGGCCACCATTGCCACGACTGCTGTTGGTCTTGACCCACATGTCTTGTTCGTTGGCCATGTCATTGATCAGGATCGGATCCTATGGCTTCTTGGCTCGAAAGATTGGTGAATGTCACGCAATACCTCAGAACCTGGAATGGAGTGGATGTTGAGTTACCCAGGTAAGGGCTGCACCTAAGAAAAATAAAAATACTAAGAAATTGTGGGGCAAGGGTGAGGTGAGGGTAGCGAAATGATCAATAAAGCAGCCGCCCCTATACCCTAGACGTCAACATGTGGCACCCACCAACAACACACACCCACAAATGTTTTTGAATGTTTATGTTTGACACACACACACACACACACACACACACACACACACACACACACACACACACACACACACACTTGAGCCCCCTCTGGCGCCCTCTGGCAGCTAGTCGAGCCCCCTCTGTTGTCGCCCCCCACGCCCTCTTCCCCCCACCACCACACACGCACAAGCCTCGGAGGTTTACTGGCTCTGTGTTGTGTTTACCGCTGTTCTTTCATTTTCCCCTCGGCTCGAGCCTTGCTCCCCTCTACCACCACCCACCTCCCCGTCTCCTTGTATCTCTGCCAGGGCTGGGCTGGGCGTCGAGCTGGGCTTGTGGTTGAGACCTTTCACCTGCGCAGCTTGCTCACTGCCACACACCACGCCGTTGCTCTTCTCCACGTTGACCGTGGGCCATGCCCCACCATCCAACTTTGGGCACCTCACGGCGGCAGCCGCGTCGGGCGCTGCCTCTTCTCCTTGCCTTGTGTGCCATCACCCTCGCCATGGTCAACGCCACACCGAGCGACCCAGCGATCGAGTCGGAGCGTATTTTCAAAGACATGCTGGGAGACCTCTCCGCCGTTGACTTTTTCCAAGACTACTATCGTCACGATTTCTTGCATCGCCCTCACGACAAAGTCGGCACTCAAGGTGCCCTGTGGGCCTCTGATTCTTGGTTTGAAGACTTGAAACATGTCGACGCCATTCTTTCCGAGACTCTGGCCCAGTTCCACGATGACGACAACGTCTTTGTCCTTCGTGATAATCGCTCCAAATCCTTGCGCATCAACACCACCGATTGGAGCGTGCAGGGTCCCCGCTTCTATGCCGAAGGACAGTCCGCCGTCATCCGCCGCGAATTTCAAGATGTGCCCCAATCTCCCTTTGAGCACATGCTTCTCGACGTCTTTGGCGCTTCTGAAGTCACAGCACACGCCTACATCTCCGCTCCACATGCCTTGGCCCTGCCTCCCCACACGGATCGCTACGATGTTGTGGTGGTGCAAGTCTTTGGCCACAAGGAGTGGACCGTCTGCACTGGCACCAACGACAGCTCCGCCGACTGGCCCGAAGCCACACCCGCCCAGCTCGCTCAGATCTACGAACTGGAAATTAGCAACCCTGAAGGTAAGCTCCTGCTTTTGTTAAACTCAAGCTCTGCCTTACATCCTCAAGCAGTCCAAACGAATCTTCACACCCCTTTCCACTTGCTTATGTTTGGTCGACAGGTTGTCACAACTGGAAGGTGCAGGATCTCGCGAAGATGCATTGCCGTGAATTCACCCTGCAAGCTGGCGATGTTCTCTACCTTCCCAAGGCCTTGATTCACTTTGCTACCACCAACGACAACATCACCTCCGCACATGTGACCTACTCCATCGAGCGTACCGAGGCCACTTGGTCCGCCATGCTTGAAACGGCCTGCTGGCGCCTTCATGATCCTTTGTGCTCGGTCGTGAGCACAATTCTCGATTCTCTCGAAGTAACAGCGCACGGTCTGCCGTGGGTGCAGCTTGCCTACGAGCCCCTGGGTGGCATTAATGCCAGCTGCGACCGCTTGTCCCACCTGGTCCGCTCCTATGCCCCCTACTCTCTTCGCTCACAGCTGAGGAATGAGAAACACCAAGCCAGACTCGGATGGGTCACATCAAGAGACATCAATCTGCTTCTCGCTCGTTTGGGCGATTGCCAAGCCAACCTCGGTGATGACGAGGTTCAACAGATCGTCACCATTTCTTCCCTCATTGAGGGCCCCGATCATCACGAAGGCGTCGAACGCTCTCGCCGTGGCCCTGCCTGGACGCCTCCTGGCAACAGCAACGGCGGTTACTGTAATGGTTGCACTTACAACTCATGTGACGACAGCTGTGACAGTGGGGAAACCTGTGACAATTATGTAAGTAAAGCCTGCAAACATATCCCTTTCGTGCACCACTTCCAATCACTTCATCGGCCAATTCACCCCCATTGGCCTGCCCATGCGTGACATGAACTCAGGGCTGTGACAGAAGTTGTAACAGTGGTGATGATTCGTGTGACAACTCCTGCGATGGGACTTGCAACACTTGTGATGGAAGCTGTGATTCCACTGCCTGTTCTTCATGCTCATGTCGACCAGGATACTACAAATACACGAATTCCATCCACAATGGCGGTTGCCGAGGTTGGTGGCGTACGCCATTGGAGAGATCGTTTGCTGAAACCACCCAAACCTAATGATCGCTGGTTTCAACTCTTCCTCCCCTGAATCCAGCATGTCAAACCGGAAAATACCAAAACCAGTATACCAATAGCTGGTCGTGCAAAAACTGCGCAGCCGGAACATATGCCAGTACAACTGGTCGAACAGCATGCACTGCATGCCCAGGGGTACGTCAGTTCGGTCTTATTTCAAATGGGAGCGGGTTTCACGATGACGCCTGTGTGTACACTATCAACTAGCAAAATGTAATTTCCATATCGCTGAATGTTTGATACGTACGTTTCTTAGGG